TCTTAGATCTATTTGTTTATTTATTTGTTTTTTTTATAGTAATATCTATTATGATTTTTTAAATATTTAATAATATTAATATATTTTTTGAAAATTATTTGATTTTATTTATTTTCATTATATATATAGTTAATGATTAAATATACAATTTATTAGTTAACAATTAAATGTACAAGAAACTTATGTTAATATAACTTATGAATATAATTTATGTTAATATAACTTAATGAAATTATGGAAGCCATGAAAGAGACATTTGTGTTTATGTGAGTTCTATTATTCTCTGCTGTAGTTCTGAATTTTTTCATATAATTTTACAAATTATATTTATGATTATTATTACAGTTATTGTTTTATAAAAAAATTATATAATTATTTATACATATTTTTATATAGTTAATAATTATATATATATAAAATTCTTTGAAGAATTATCTATCAAAACAACATAATTCATATAAATTGTAACATTCAGAAAATAAATATTTTTAGAATAGTTAGATTTGTTGATGATATACATATAAAAAAAATATAATTTACAAATTATAAAATAAAAGGAATTTAAAATCATGAGTAGAATTATAATTATATTGAAAAAATTTGAATTTTTTTTTAAATGTAAATATTATATTTTTAAGATGACTTTATTTATAATATTTAATTTAAAATATTTCTTTAAATCTACAATTTTTAGATTTATATTTCTTTTACTTTGATTTTTTAATCATAGTACAAATTCTTTTGGTAAGAAAGTATATTAAGGAAAAGGAAAATGACGAGGCAAATATGCTCAATATATATATTAATAAAAACAAATGTGAAAAAGAGACAAAGGGGGGGAACAATCTGTTGATTCTTATGAAACAATTTTATTTTCATAAATTAGAGATTATTTAATGGATGAATTAAAGCAATAAAAATTGTAGATATATAGATCATGAAAGGATGTACAAAAAAATATACTAAGAGAAAACAGGAAAATAACTTCCGAAAGAAAAAGAGAAGGAGAATAGGATGAAACAAGGCGACATAGCTAACTTGCCGAAGGTTTACGAAAATATCCGAACATTAAGTTCGGCTATATGTCGCGCGTAGTCTGTGTACATGTGGCAATCAAGCCACACGGTACACACGTTTCTTGCTCTCTTTTCTTTTTCTTATTTGATTTATAGTGAAAATAATCAAATACAATTTCTCAACGAGTATATAAAAGTTCATGATAATATATTAGAAATTGTGCGTAGTATCATTAAAAAATCGTTATATTTTTTTTACGGAATAATATTTTCAAGGTCTCAATTCTATGGTTTGAAATATAATTAAAAATATATTATTATTTTTTTAAGGCATTTTACGAAATCAATTTATTTCTACATGAAAATTTTTTTTATATATTGTATATAGTATTTTTTGCCAACAAATTGTGTTATTTGTGTATTACGTAGGAAATTATCGTTATAAACAGCATATGGTTATTAAAATGCCTGTTAAAATGTATGAAACAAAACATATTTAACATAATTATCGCATAATATAAGTAACATATAAAAATAGAATGTAAGAAAATATTTTTTAATATTTGACAAACGAAATGAATCTTTTTAAAATTTGGTGATTTACCGTACGAGAGTGAGTTTAACGATAGTAGTAACAGTAGCAGCAGTGGTATTGCCGGGTTTCGTGGTTAGTAACTCGCACAAAAACATCGCCTTACCAGTATCATATCGTCTTTGCTACCGCGGAGGTTATATAATTTCGACAGCGGTCTTTTCGTTTGCAAAGCACGAGTGTTCATTCATTCAAATAGCCATCGTTGTTTTTTCAAGTATTCGCGCCATACGAGGCGTATATTCTTCAAGGAAGAGACCTCGTGTGTTACCTTCGCATGTTGAGAACGAAAGTGGATAGGATCACCAGTAGGCAATCACGCCGCTAAAGATGTTCTCAATCATCATTGTTTCTTACCATCACTAGCAATAACGGTCATAAGAGAACTTAGACTAGGCGTTCAGCAGCACACAAGCCAAAAATGTCTACGGTGATAGGTAAGTTGAATGTCATGCTATGTTCGCGATAGTTGTTTATTCGAATGATCGAATGTTTTCATATTGATATATTTAATACATAAACTTTTTCTTAAAAATAATAAATATGCTTCGCTACTTACAATAGTCGATGATTATCAGCATATTAATTATACAAATCATGATTATTATAATTAATTTTTATATTCGTCTCTTTTTATTTTATATAAAAATAATTTATCATTTTCTTAATAAATAAATTAAAATTATTAAAATTATTAAAGAAATATCAAATGAAATAATACTTATGATAGATTTCGGGAGATGTCGCGTGAGTCAGTAATCATTTACCAGTTGGATGTGTCACGTGTGTCACGAGAACACGATTCCTAAGATTGTCTGATATTTTTCAAATGGTTAATATCAACTATAAAAGTATATTTTCTGTTATGTGCAAACGCATGAATTTTGATAATATTTTATAGTAACAAAATATATATTTATATCTATAATAATTTATTTATATTTATATTATGCAACTAAATCAATTTTATATATAAAATTTATCTTTTATTATTTATTTACATATTTTTATATAAAAAATTAAATTTATATATTTATGTATATAATTTAATTTAAAAGTTTGTTATACAAAAGATTTTTTCTTTTTAAATATTTTTTTTTCTATATTCTTAAATTTATAATTTTAAATATTTGTAACTATGGTTTTCTGAAAAACATAATTATCATAAATATAATTTTAATTATGTTTTATTACAATATAGTATGCAATGAAAAAATTCTTTACTATTAAGATTTTACTAAACTTGCCAAGGTCTTTCATTTTCATCTTATTGAGAAATAAGTATATTATATATTATTATTATAAAAGTTATTAAAAAATTGCATAATGCTTAGAATAAGAAATAATATTAAAAAGATATTTTATTAACAATTAGTTCTGCACATATGGTTTATATTTTCTACCATCTATTCAATTTTATTGGATAGCACATTCTTAAAATACATATTTGTGATTATAACTCATGATTTTGCAAATATGGCACTCTTGTATCAACTTTGTTTTAATCATATGTTTCTCAATAATTCTAATATTTAAATACAATGTTTTTTTGATGACTAAATATCAATTTAATTTTTAAATATGTTCTTTTTCTATGTGATTAACTATGTGCATATAATGTTATTGAACATAAAAGTTTTTGATATTTTTAATATTTATGAAATATTTCAAATTTTTATTATGTATTAAAAAATGTATCATAAATTTTTACATAACAATACTAATTCTGCAATTCAATGTAACTTCAGATTGAATTTTATATAAATTTCAAGTTATTAGTTTATTTCGTGAATTTTTTATACATGTAATTTAACTTTTCTATAAATATATTAAATTTGATTTCAAAATTT